GCAATCTTTTTATAGCCTGTAAATTCTATTACCCCTACACCTTTTTTGGTCCTTCCCTTTTTTAGCTGCTATTTTTCCCGGCTGTCCATTTGGAATCTGTCAGCTGGGACCCTGCATATCTCTCTTGAGGCTTATTACAAGTCTGATGCATTTCCTACCCAGTCGATGACCTATAATACCTGGTGTTTACAAAGGTGCAGCAGATAGCATAAGCAGCATATCCTGTAATTTACTTTATGGGGAATCATTTTGAGTGGAACTGCACCATCATTTTCAATGTAGCCTCTCTATCCCCTTCCATTGTATGCTGCCCCTGTCAGCTTCCCCCCTTACCTTTCAGTCCCAGACCCTCTCGCCTCTTCAAGTGTTTGATTCAAATAGATTTGCTCCTGGATAAGGGAGGGGGGAGAGACACACACAGAAGGAAGAAAATAAACAGATAGGGCTATTATTCATGCCTGCCATGAAGCTATGGCAACAGAATCCTCCTGTTCTGATTGGTCATAGATAAGGGTGTTTTTTTTAGCAACATTTACACCCTGGGGAATCTGATTTATATACTTTTGAATCACATTTTAACTGGTGTTCTCCTTTTCCTTTTAGTATTCCTTTATTTAGAAAAACAAAGTTTATCTATATCTGAAATAGCTGGGACTTGATTTAATGTTTCCATAAAGTTTTATCAAAAGTCTTAATACTGTGTTAATATCAAAGTGAATTACTACAACATATGCATGTTAAAAGAAGGCTTTTTCTATGCCATGCTGTCCTGCACAGCGGCTATCACTCTTACAATAAAACAGTTTAACGATACTCTGATTTATATCATCATATAACATCCTAACCTTTAGTGTGTGGGCTACTGCCAAAACAAGCTCAGCATTCCAGCAACTACCTCCTACTCATCTCTGTAAGTTGTGCTGCTTGGAGATTTGGGTTAATATATCTATTGCAGACAATTGCTAGTAAGTAAGCATGTATTTTATACTCCTTAAAGGCATTTGGAGATCATCAGCTGTCATTTTTATTTCTCAGTGGTGTATTTGGTTAAGATTCAAGCGCCGTAAAGAAATGTTGGTATGTTGGAGATTTTTCAGCGTCATGTATTCTGCTCTCAGGGCTAACATGTTGTCCTTGATTTTAGATTCAAATTTGAAGCACCTTTCAGAGCCTAGCTGGATTCAGAAGCTGCTTTCTGAGGGCCTCAGCCTTCAAAATGCCAGAAGTCATTTAGACGTTTGTTTCAAGGCTAAATCTGGTCGGTCCATCACAGTCTTGATTAAGTCCAAAAATAATTGTTGAAAATTCAACAATGTTTGGTTGGTCTGGTTTTTTCCCACTTTAGTCGAATAATAGATGTGAAAAGTCGTTGCAAACCCAGTTTTCAACGTCTTTTCAATTATCTAAAAATTACGGCTTTTCACTTTTCATCCAATTATGGAAGCTGTTTGGACGTAAATGAACTTGTCTTTACAATGTCTTTTCAACCATTTTTTTCATGGTGGGAGATATTTCTGTCAATCCATGATGATTAGTTTCACTTCAGCAGTCAGGAAGACATTTGACTAAAGACATGATATACTAAACATTAGCATATAAAAAATCTCATGCAAACAAGATAGCGCCAGCAAAGCTCATAGACTGACCAGGTGCAAATGAAATTGAGGACGATATGCAAATATTTTTTTTTTTACCATCCTAAATGCAGTGAATCAAAAAGGAAACTTGTTTGCAAGCCTTTTCTGTTTCTATATTTGGCACCTTAGACAGTCAGTTCATTGTGACGAGAAGTTAGCAGAGGGGAAAAACAAGAGATGGACAAAATTTCATGTGTGCGTTAATATATTTGGACTTTCAGAAATTATGTAGTGATGTGCGACTTTTCAAAGTGCTTCACATGTTGTTAAATAGTTTTTTTGTATATTAATATTTATAGATTTTTGTACAATTCTGTCAGATATTTTAAAAAACTCAGCTCTACATCTTCCTCTTGTTTACCTTCCCCTTGTTTAAACCGACCACAGTATTGAACAATCTGCAGATGATTATTTGCTTTTCTGAAATTATTACTCACATTCAAATTTTTTTTTTCTTTGAAACATTTCAGGTCTGGCTTCTAGCCAATAAGCTGCTGCTAAATATGACCAAATCACACTCAATCTTATTTCAGAAGAAAAAATTTATATCTAGCTGTGAGTTTAACTGCTGGAATCTTACACCAAATATTCTGGTATAGGACTTAGATATTTAGGCATATGTGACCCTACACTTTCTCACATCTCTAATATTCTCAGTAAGGAAAAGGATTCTAACCGAATGATTACTTCTTATTTTTAATTACTGTGTTATAATTAAGGACTAATGCCTAACAAGGTGTCCATTGTCAGAAAGTCGTACAATTGTTTCAGTGAAATCCATTTTTCCTGAATAAAGGATGTATCTAAGGGCATTATCCTGCTTATACTATGGTCAATATAAATATTTAATTAATCAATTATTACTATTATGGTTGATTTTTTTTTTTAAGTTAAAATACATTTTTTTTACAAGAAGCAGCTACGAGTGGAATATTTATTATCTTGTGACACTTTGTCAAGGTAACCGGTAGTTGCCACAGAACATGCAGCTTGGTCAGCTGCAGCTTAATGTTAGTTAAATGAAACAAAGCCCGGTTTACTACAGCAGGTTTTAACTCTACAGCCAATCAGAATCAAGTATTCAGCATAGACCATGGTATAATTAATAAAAATACCACACCTACTAATCTCCAACAACTTACGGTAGTATATACCAGTTAGTATGGGGTTACTCTACTTGGGGTGACAGTGGCGTCAAATACATGAGTTTGGCCTGCAAACGAAAGGTTGTCGATTTAATTCCCCCGGCTCCGCCTTTAAAAAATTTGTTGTGTCCTTATGCAAGACACTTCACCTTAATTACATACTGATGGTGGTCAGACGGACTGGTGGCTGTTATGTATGGCAACCTCAATTCTGTGTGTGGCTACAATATAGCTTGCAACCAGTGTGTGAGTGAGTGTGTGTATGAATGGGTGAAATACTGAATGTATTGTAAAGTGCATTGGTCAAGTCTCCTGACTTGAATAAGAACTACACAAGTACAGGCCATTTGCAATTCTATGCCCTGTCTGTTGTACTAGCATCTGTCCTGGCTCACTCCATCCTCCAGTTGATAATTTCACAGGTTATTTTTTTGTATTTTATATTTAAATGCATTAACTTCAGTCATCCTGATTATTTAAAAAAAATATAGTTTCCTTTAAAATTTACAAAGTCAGCTGCCAGTAAAATAAATAAAAAATTTCAGGCTTCAAACATAAAGATATAAAATGCAATTTTTTTATGAAGAATAAACAACAAGTGGGACGCACTGATTAAGTGGAGTAAGATTTTTTGCATATTTTACACTTTTTTAATAAATAGAAATGCTGAATTAAAAATTCATTCTTTAAGTTACTTTGTGGAGTCCTTTCAGCTGCAAATACAGCGGCAAGTCATTTGGGGAATGTTTATATCAGTTTTGCACAATGAGAGACTGAAATTTTTGCCCATTCTTCCGTACAAAACAGCTCGAGTTCAGTGAGGTTGAATAGTTTTCAGTTCTTAACACAGATACTCAATTACATTCAGGGATGAACTTTGATTTGGCCATTTTGCCACCTGAATATGTTTATTTGTGAACCAGTCTACTGTAGATTTTGCTTTGTTTTGGATCATTGTCTTGTTAAAAGATAAATCTCTGTCCAAGTCTCAGGTCTTTTGCAGACTCCAACAGGTTTTTCTTCCAGAATGATCCAGCATTTGGCTCTATCCATCTTCCGATTAATCTTAACCATCTTCTGTGTCCCTGCTGAAAAAAAAATCAGGTTCCAACCATTTGTTTGACAGTGGGAATGATTTGTTCATGGCTGTGTTCGCTTTTACGCCAAACCTAATGTTTTACATTGTTGTCAAAAATTTCGATTTTGGTTTCATTTGAGCAGAGCCCTTCTTCCTCATGTTTGCAGTGTTCCACAGGTGCCTTGTGGCAAACTTTAAACAAGGATTTTTCATGGATATGTATATAGGATGTACGGCAGATTGTTGTCCTATGGACAGAGTCTCCCACCTCAGCTGTAGATGTCTGTAGTTCATCAAGAGTGATCTTGGAACTACATCCATGCTAATATACCACTAATATATATATATATATATATATATA